GAGAATGCAAATGGAGCAATTTAGAGAGGAAGAGCGAATAATGTCGATGGATACAAGTGGCATACCTCTATTGCAAGCTGAATATTTTCAGCGCCGCCAAATGAAAGTCTTGGGAAAGAAGATGTAGTTTTTTTTTATTAATAAACAAATAACTTTTAAGTAGTAGTAATGATACTACAAGTACTATAATAACTTTTGTTTAAGTGGTGCCTAGAAGTTTTTATGTATATTCCACTGATGCTCGATTATATCAACTTGGAGTTTGGAATGAGTTTCTTTGGCTCGAATACAATGTTGAGTATTAATAAATTTGAGCAGTCCTGAACTCCGCCCAGGTATGGCTGTAGTATTGGGACTCTCATCCATTGCATCATAACTAAATTTTAACTTATTAGCGTCTCACTCATCCTTGACAATCATGTTATGTAATATTATGCATGATTTTATAATATCCTTAAGCACTTCAAGTATTCAGAAATGTGTTGGTCCACGCACTATAGCAAATCGTGCTTCAAGCACTCCAAATGCTCGCGCAACATCCTTTTCTGCTGACTCTTAAGATTTTGCAAAATGTATTTGCTTATTATCTCTTGGAGATGGAATTATTTTGACAAATGTTGCCCATTTTGGATATATATCATTAGCAATATAATATCTCATTGTATAATTGCTTCCATTGACTGAAAAATTGATTAGAGGAGTCGGACCTTCCAAAAAAAGAGCAAAAACAGAAGAACGTTCCAGTACGTTGAATATCATTATGGGATTCAAGTAACTTAAAAAAGGCATGTCAAATCCAGAGATCATATGAATCCACCGCCTCCAAAATAATTGTTGGTTCATAGATATGACTAAAATACATACATTTCCATGATGCTGGACAATTCTTCCATTTTCAATGCCTACGGTCAATGCTACCCAACATCCTAGAAAATCCATGATTGATATTCATTACTAATAATCTGGTAATGTCATCGTTGTTTGGTGATTTGAGGTATTTATTAGAAAAAATTGTTACTACCACCCTTACAAATCTTTTCAAACTTTTTATTATGGTGCTTTCGTCAATCCTCATATAATCATCAACAGTAAAGGTGTCCATGGGCCAGGTTACCCACAGGTCCCGTTACCCAATCCAAAAAAAATAAGTCTCAAGCCCAATAATTGGCCCACTTGAGCCCAAGCCCGATATCCTTAAAAAGAGGGTTTGGGTTTGCCCCCAAACCCATTACCCAGGCCAAAGAGCCCGCTCGTCAAGCCCATCCACCCACCATACATTTGAAAAAAAGTTATATTTTTAGACCATTAAATTTGAAACTTTGAAATAAGTCTCCCAATATCAAAATTTAAAGTCTTAAAAATTTAGATATTATAAATAATGTATTATTTTCTTTTCCATGTATTAAGCATATAAGTTTTAAATGGTAGAGTAATGCAAATGATAGATAAGTTAGTACGTGTCAACCTAGTTGGGATCTATTCATTCTATTAGATATAGTTCATCATTTTATTTTTATCCATTTTGACTTTATTTATGATTCAAAAATATAATTTACACAAATATTCATTATTTTTAAATAAAGATATATATAAAAAAGTCCATTCAATAGGCTCACGAGTTGGACTGTGAGTAGCATATCTCAACTCGAAACCCAACCCGGCCCGCCCAATAACTTACTTGGATAAGGGCTTGTTGGGCCTACACTATCCGGGCCCGACCCGAATAAATTTTAGGGGCCTAGCCCGGCCTATGGACACCCCTAATCAACAGCATCTTCTGCAACTCCATAAGCAATTATCCTTATGGCAGTTGTCATCTTTTGAAGGGAAGATAAGCCAATAATTCCAGTAGCATCTTTTTTGTTTGGACAAAATATGGATTATAAGCTTCTATCATGGATAGAATACGAAGAAAAATGACTCGAATCATTCAAAACCTTCTTTGAAATAAATTTGGGAGATAGATAGGCGGTTTAGCAAAATAATCACGATAAAGTCTTTCGTGTCCTTGAACTCGATTGCGAAAAATAACTGAATGACCTTAAATGGAACCACGACGTACACCAGAGCTTTTCTCGCTATTGAGTTTGTTCATTTTCATAACATAAATTGTTACCATCTCCAATTCATCATCGTAATCAGAATCGTTAAGAATCATCTTGATTGCAGAATGATAAGCCATAACATAAATACAAAGAAGAGTACAATGTCAATAAATATATTTGAAGTGTATGACAATAAGAGAGAGAATACCCTATTTATATATATATATATATGACCGTTAAAAATGACCATTGTAAATATGACTTTTATGACCATTACAAATATGTCTCTTATTAATACATTCGTTGAAAATTTTCAAATTTTAATGACGTGACATTGTAAATATAACTGTTATTAATAAAATCAAAATTTTAAAATTTTGATGACGTGGTGTAACACGTCAGCATGTGATTTAATTAATATAATAACAACGTGACATGTTACATAATATTTTAGATTTTAATAATTAATAGTTAGTTGTCAGCATGTGATTTAATCAATATAATAACAACGTGACATGTTACATAGTATTTTAGATTTTAATAATTAATAGTTAGTTAAAGTTAATTGAAATAGTTTGTTAAAATAAATAACATTGTTGGAGTGAATTAATAAGAATTGATCCTTAAAATAAATAGTGCAACAAAAAAGTATATTTTTGTTAGTTATTCTAGATAGTCTCATTAAAGTTGCCCTAAGGGGAAACATTGTGACACTTGGGTATTCCAATAAATAAAAAATAAAGTATGAAGGATATTTTAGTATTTTTGTAGGATATGCGATGGAAGTTGATATGTTTTGAAGTGTAAGGCGATTTAGTACAAAAGCATTTGGCGCCGTTGAATTCATACTCTTATATGATTTTTTATTAATTTTATGAATTTTTTCCTAAAATAAAAAAATGTGATTATCAAAGAATTAAAAATTTAAAAAAATTATTAAAAAATATAAAATTGTAATCTAACTGATTAAAATTAAAAGTAAGTACTCTGTGAAGTCTAAAAAAATTGGCTGCACTGAATTCAAACTTTCCTATTATTTAATATTAATTTTTTGAATTATTTCTTAAAATAAAAAAAAGGATTACCAAACAATTAAAAATTATAAAAAAATTATTAGAAAATAGAAAATTGCAATCTAACTGACTAAAATAAAAAGTACGTATTGTCTAAAGTAAAAAAAAAATGACGACACTGAATTCGGACTCTCCTATGATTTATTATTAATTTTTTGATTTCTTTCCTAAAATGGAAACAATCTGATTATCAAATAATTAAAATTTTGTAGAAAAAATATTAAAAATAGAAAATTACAATCTAACTAATTAAAATAAAAATTACATATTGTTTGGAGTCTAAAAAAATTGTCAGCGTTGATTTCGGACTCTCTTATGATTTATTATTAATTTTTTGAATTTTTTCCTAAAATAGAAAAAGGGATTTTAAGGGCCTAAAAAATAGAATTCGACGCAAAATTGACCGAGCTCATCGCATAGCAATGAGTCTTGATCGTTGGCCCAATATGGATCAAAATCCACTTGTCTTTAATCCATTTGAAGTCCAGGTCATTTTAGCCACCTATTTTACATCATCTATGATTATTCAAAAATTATCAAAAAATTAAAAAATATAAAATTACAATCTAATTTATTAAAATAAAAAATACGTATTGTATGGAGTTTAAAAAAATTGGCGGCGCTGAATTAGGATTCTCTTATAATTTAGTATTAATTTTTTGAATTCTTTCCTAAAATGGAAAAAACAAGATTTTGCGGGCCTAAACGATGGAATTTAGCACAAAATTGACAGAACTCATCACATAGCAATGAGTCTTAATCGTTGGCTTGATTTAAATCAAATTCTACTAGTCTCGATCCATCCAAAATTCAGACCATTTTAGCCACCAATTTTATATCTTTCTTAATTATTCAAAAACTATCAAAAAATTAAAAATTACACAAAAATTATTAAAAATAAATTTAAATGATGCTTTAATGAAATTGAATGTTCATTTAGTTTTAAATTAAATAACTTATATTAATTTGATAATGTTAAATGTTAAATTAATAAAATTTAATATTCTATTTAGTATATTAAATTTTAATTTAATAAAATTAAAAGTCAATTTAGTGTTGATTTGATAAAATTAAGTAATAGTTTAATGTTAAATTAAAGAAATAATATTTATTTTGGTGAAAATAAAATATTAAATTAATATAACTAAATGCTAATTTGATAAAATTAAAAATTAATTTGTGTTGATTTGATGAGATAGAATATTAATTTAGTTTAAATTAAATAAATGACATTAATTTAATAAAATTAAATATTAAATTGACGAACTTAAAAGTTAATATAATAGAACTAAAATAGAGTGTATTGAAATTTTAGAATTGAAAAGAGGTATTATTAAAGATAGGTCTATTAATAGGGAGTGTCGTTAAAGTTATATTTATTTACAAGAGGTGCGTGCGGATAAAATTTATCTAATAAAATATTTAAAGATATTTTTATAAATTACCAATTATCCGTAAACAAACACTAATAGTGTCATAGGAGTGATAGTCAACTTTTAGAATTAAGAGGGTGTGTCATAAAATTTAGTCGGAGTGTGGATGAAAAGCGTGGATGAAATTTTCCCTAAAATATAACTCAAAAGAAGACATACCACCAGACTGCGATCGAAAAGTGTTCGAGGGTCGAGCGCCAGACGGAAATGGGAAGCNTATAGGGAGTGTCGTTAAAGTTATATTTATTTACGAGAGGTGCGTGCGGATAAAATTTAACTAATAAAATATTTAAGAATATTTTTATAAATTACCAATTATCCGTAAACAAACGCTAATAGTGTCATAGGAGTGATAGTCAACTTTTAGAATTAAGAGGGTGTGTCATTAAATTTAGTCGGAGTGTGGATGAAAAGCGTGGATGAAATTTTCCCAAAAGAAGAAGACATAGCACCAGACTGCGATCGAAAAGTGTTCGAGGGTCGAGCGCCAGACGGAAATGGGAAGCCAGTGCAAGTTCTGGCTTCCAAAGAAAAACAGGTTTTGTGCAAACACGCCTCTCGGCAATTCCTTGTAAGAGCTGACTCTCTGTGTCCCCCTCCTCTTTCTTTATTTTTTACGTACACACACGCTCATATCTCCTGTACAGATCACTGCTGATAGTTTGTTTCCTGGTATTTGTATTCCGACGACTTAGGTTCTGCGGGAACCACACGAAGAGGTCCGACGGCCGCTGGATTCCATGCCCAATTGACCCTTCTCAGTAATCTCTTCACTCTCTCTTTTGCTATTTATTTTTCCCTATTTTTCGCACATCCCATGTTGCCTGGCAATTTTCAGGCCAACACGAACCGCCACAAAATCATTGGGCCAAGATTAAGCTGTACCGCCATCTCATATAACAAACAGAGTCACCTCAGTATCTAACACGAATACAGTAATCTTGACTTTGGTTTAATTAGTAGTGTGCAAAGGAAATATCTAATTTGTATGTGTTAAACAGGAATCCTTATATGATTATAGGATTTTTTATGAGATCAAATAGATATTTAGTTTATGGGGAGCCTCTAGGTTGAGGGTTTGGTCGAGAGACTGTTTTTTGACTTTGATTTTAGTTAACCTGTCAAATGTTCCGATGACATGGGGCAGGTCTAGTTTGTGTCAACATATTAATTAAAGAAACTGGGTTAGAATTGGCTAGTACCCTTCACAAACCAAAATGACACAACACAAACACTACACCACTTGATTGCCACCCCTAAATTATTTGAATGAAATGCTTTTTTTCTTTGTTGTACGTTAATGGGCAGTGTGTTGTTGTTTGTTTAAATAATTCAATAGCTCTGTACTTGAAGAAAATCTTGAAAGGCACCTTAAGAGATGCCCGTTACTGAAACAAGTTCAATCTTTGTCACTCAAACCTTTCTACCAAAAGGGTATCAATGGCGGCCAAGAAGAAGGTGTTAAAGATTTGAACACCTCAAATATCACTTCAGAAATGAAGAGAAATGCTGTGTATGCTATGACCGTGCCTGAATTCTCTGAATTGATCTGTAAAATCAAGTCTATCCACGCATCAATATGCAATGACATTCGAGATTCGTACAAGATTCCGGAAGCTTGTGGGATTTGGATTAACCGTGAAGTGGACAGGTATTTAAACTCACATATTCACTTTGTTTGCTTTAAAATTGTTTGCTCTCAGCAAGTGTTGTTGGCAGGAAGCTACCATTTCAAGAGAAACATGTCTTGCAGCAGGCGTCAATTCTTGGGAACATTGAAGAATTTGGAGTGATGAAGTCTTGTGGTATGGGTTGGATGAGGGCAAATTCGGAATGTAATGGTTCTTCTGGGGATGATAATGATGTTCCTGCGGTGGTTGAATTTGGAGCTGGGAGGGGTTACTTGACTCAAATGCTTGCAGACTGTTATAAAATCAAGAAAGTCTTGTTAGTCGAGCGGAAGTCCTACAAACTAAAGGTCAGTTGAGTTGATATCAGAATCATGTATGATTTAGTGTGGCAATTACAATACTTGTAAGCCCTTAAATGTGAGCTTACTTGGAGACAACTTTAATGAGTGTCCCATAAGTCTTCGCTGTAACCTTAACTTGCTGTTTAATTCAAGTTTATCGTTGTTTTGTTTACTGTTCATGACATGGCCATGTTATTTTTAGGCTGATCGAAGTTTGCGACAGAAAGAGAGCTTCATATTAGAGCGATTGAGAATTGACAGTAAGCTTTTCCAGAATCTTTTGTTCAAAGCAATGATGTAGTCTTAAGTCATTGTCTTTCTTTTTTCCATTTAAGATAAATGCAATGTAAATGAATTGTAGATCAATACAAACAAGGTTTGACCGATCTTTATATTGATCTCAACATAAAAATTAGACCATGCTCCTAAAAGTCCGATCAGAAGGTGCATGAATGCCTACGGAATCTACCCTTGTGGTATAGAGACACTTGGATAAGTATGCTGTCTACCTTAACAGTACAAGTCCAGCTATGGTGAAATGCTTATTATCCAGAATATGCATGCAAATAAGAGGTTGCCCTTAAAGAATAACAATGTTTGATTTGCACTTTCTATGGAGCTACGGCTTAGTCAATTTGCCAATTTTATTTCCCTGTATGCTAGCATTTTAGCAAGTGGTTTGAGGATGGAGTAGCAAAAACAATCTCATTTTGATTATATGCTCAACCAACAACTCAACCAAAACAATTGATCTAGTGATGTAATTGGAAGTGCCAATTTGTCTGCCATTGGTGCAGTAGGTGCACATATCCTTTGGATATTCAGTGGACCAATAGTGCATGAAAAGGCTAATAATTGTTAAATGTTTAATGTAAAGACCCTATTAAAATAAGAAATTGAAGGACTATATAGAACTGTGTTTAATAGGTTTTTTTTCAAGTAAAAAGTAGGTGAAATGCATTGTAGTTGGACCATAGCAACCTTGAGATCTAAGCATCTGATTACTGCTGAACTTCATTTAGTCGCAGCCCTCCAATATTTTTCAAACGTCACAGATAATTCAATTGACCGCTTCAAATGGAGGGAGCATAATGATATTTCACACAGCCCGCCAACAAAGTACTACAACTATTGCCAAAATCATCGTTTACAGTAATACAATAGGAAGTTGAGTTAAAATGGAAGAAAAGTAGTGGCAGTTGGGATTAGCTTAAGGATGAAATTCTGAGGCAGCTTGTACGCACCATCGGTGTCTGCATCGTCTGGCATTAGTCCTACCTTTGGTTTACAAACTTACTAATATTGATGGAGGCTCAGTTAGACAGGTAAATAAAGAATTTGTGGCTTTCATGTTCTGTAACTTTAGTGGCAAATCACTTAAATTGACTTACCAGGAGGGAAATCTATAACAAATGCAATATATTTTAAGGGGGCAAATGAGAAAAGATAAACGTGTTTAAAATTAAGATTACTACAACTTTTTTTTTTACCCTGGCATTTCCATCATTTTCTTATCAAAGATGGTAAGAGTTTACCATGAAATTGCTTCTCACCAAATGAGATAATCTATTCTTCCCCCTACAAACTGTGTTCTATTAGGATCTTCAATAGTTTTCATTGTGTTTGATTGAGTTCTATTCGTGGGAGAAACTACTTTCTGAGAGGTCAATAATTGCATTTCAGTTTAAAGTTTACAACATAAGATGAATAACCGAATCTGGAATGTTTTCATAAAAAGAAAAAATTGCGTGTCCTGTCCCTAGTTATAAAATGAAACAACACTAGTGAGTTTTCCTGTGAAATCATGATTTCTGAAACTTTTGGACCTTTGTTTCAGAATGAAAGTGGAGTGGTATTTGTGAGGGTATAAGGTAGGTGTCTTGGCTTTTTGTTGCACTTGATTGCCAGTTCTATGTTTTGCTTTATCAGTGAGGTATTGTCTCTACACATTTGTGTATTACAGCGCACATGAAGTTGTGTGGTACCTTTGTTGTTGACTTGACGCATCATCAGTGAAAAAACAATATGGTTCATAGACACTTGCTCATTGACACATGCCCAACTGGTGTTTGACAAAATAACTGAACACTAACCTAGGTCAATAAAAGAATTCTGAGGTAATTTTCAGAAATTCACTTTCTTGATTTTCTAGATACTTCATTCACCCTAGTATTTTCAAGATTGAATTGAATTTTCACCCAAGACAAAGAAGATAAAATGGATTCTTCATTCACCGAAGTAAGTAAAAACTCAAACCAGTTTTGAGTTTATGTGGCTGTATCCTTGTAGTAATATCTGGAGATTAAACAGATTATCTGCTTAAACAAATCTTCACAATTGACTCATCCTTAATATCATTTAAAATAGATCATACTTTTTTCTTGAGCTTGCTTGATGGAAGTACACTTTACCATACTCAAGATGCATCTGCAGATTTCCTTGCTTTCTGCTGCATTATTACAATAGAGCATTGACTTCTGCAGTTGAGGATTTAAACTTGAATGCTGTTGAGTCTTTACAAGGAGTTCCTTATTTGGCTGTCGGTAAACATCTCTGTGGTCCTGCAACAGGTAATAATTTTGCTATCTTTTTGCAAGAACAACCATCTTCAGGCCTTGCTAAATAACCATCAAATAGAGCTTAGTTCAGGTTCGGCTCAGTTTGTTTTCTAAACGGGTCTGACCTTGAACAAGTTTTTATGTTCATTTAGAAAATAAGTCCTACAAGTTCGGCTCAAACTCGACAGGTTCGACTCATTTATGTGTAAATATTCGGACTCGAATCGGGTTCGACTTGTTTTGGGCTCATTTAGGCTCAGTTCTCTTCTTAAACGAGCTAAACTTGAACAATTTTTTAGGCTCAATAAAAAAATAAATTTTTCAAGTTGGACTCGAATTCGGTTTGAGCTTAGTTTATGCTGTTGTATTAGTTTGTTACGAGTAGTGCAACTTTTCTGCAGATATGACTNGTCTTGGCTTTTTGTTGCACTTGATTGCCAGTTCTATGTTTTGCTTTATCAGTGAGGTATTGTCTCTACACATTTTTGTATTACAGCGCACATGAAGTTGTGTGGTACCTTTGTTGTTGACTTGACGCATCATCAGTGAAAAAACAATATGGTTCATAGACACTTGCTCATTGACACATGCCCAACTGGTGTTTGACAAAATAACTGAACACTAACCTAGGTCAATAAAAGAATTCTGAGGTAATTTTCAGAAATTCACTTTCTTGATTTTCTAGATACTTCATTCACCCTAGTATTTTCAAGATTGAATTGAATTTTCACCCAAGACAAAGAAGATAAAATGGATTCTTCATTCACCGAAGTAAGTAAAAACTCAAACCAGTTTTGAGTTTATGTGGCTGTATCCTTGTAGTAATATCTGGAGATTAAACAGATTATCTGCTTAAACAAATCTTCACAATTGACTCATCCTTAATATCATTTAAAATAGATCATACTTTTTTCTTGAGCTTGCTTGATGGAAGTACACTTTACCATACTCAAGATGCATCTGCAGATTTCCTTGCTTTCTGCTGCATTATTACAATAGAGCATTGACTTCTGCAGTTGAGGATTTAAACTTGAATGCTGTTGAGTCTTTACAAGGAGTTCCTTATTTGGCTGTCGGTAAACATCTCTGTGGTCCTGCAACAGGTAATAATTTTGCTATCTTTTTGCAAGAACAACCATCTTCAGGCCTTGCTAAATAACCATCAAATAGAGCTTAGTTCAGGTTCGGCTCAGTTTGTTTTCTAAACGGGTCTGACCTTGAACAAGTTTTTATGTTCATTTAGAAAATAAGTCCTACAAGTTCGGCTCAAACTCGACAGGCTCGACTCATTTATGTGTAAATATTCGGACTCGAATCGGGTTCGACTTGTTTTGGGCTCATTTAGGCTCAGTTCTCTTCTTAAACGAGCTAAACTTGAACAATTTTTTAGGCTCAATAAAAAAATAAATTTTTCAAGTTGGACTCGAATTCGGTTTGAGCTTAGTTTATGCTGTTGTATTAGTTTGTTACGAGTAGTGCAACTTTTCTGCAGATATGACTCTAAGATGTTGCATACAGGAGCAATGTAATCAAGTTAATGCTGCTCACTGCAAAGCCAATTGCTCCATTAAAGGCCTAGCCATAGCAACATGCTGTCATCATCTTTGCCAGTGGAAGCATTATATAAGTAATATCTTTGTTCAGCCCCCAATAAACCCATGAAATATTAGCTAATGCAAATCTTTAATTTTCTTTTGACTTCCAATGCCCTCTTATGGTGACTTACAACATTTGCTGCCCTGCAGATAAGAGATATTTGTCAAATCTCGGTATCACCATGGAAGATTTCCATGCCATTACATGGTTTACCAGTTGGGCAGTCGATGCAGATCATGGTTCAGATCTTTCTGATGTTGATTGCAGATCACATATACAGATCACGTAATGATATTACAACTGTCCTAATTTGAAGGCTATTATATTAATGCATATCCTTGGGGAATTGACTGATTAGGCTACTTATTTGTAAACAGTTGCTTCTTCTCTCATTTGTGACATATTCTCTTGGCATGTTTCCACAGTGAGATGGAAGAGTGTAGCTGGGATTCAGGTTCATGTGGAGTTGAAGAAATTATTATGAATATGAGGGCTGTGGAGAGGGCAGTATTGGGCTTCATGTGCAAGGATATAATTGACGTAGGAAGGTTGATGTGGGTGCGGAAACAGGGCCTAGAAACTCAGCTTGTCAAGTATGTTCAATCTAATATCTCTCCTGAAAACCATTTGTTGATAGCTAGGCACAAAAATATATTCTAGGATATGGAAGCTCTTTATCATGCTCTGATTTGTAGTATGGTTAATATTGNCATCTAATATCTCTCCTGAAAACCATTTGTTGATAGCTAGGCACAAAAATTTATTCTAGGATATGGAAGCTCTTTATCATGCTCTGATTTGTAGTATGGTTAATATTGTTCCCATTAATTTTATTAGACTAAACTTGCATTCATAAGTTGACAGAACCATGTTACAATTAAGCTGGCTTTTGGGATATGAACTCTTCTTCAGTGGATAATGTCTCTTTGTAATATCTTTCCATTTTAGCCGGAGGGTACTTACCATGGACAATGGTATATTTTTAACTTCTGCTTGTTTAGTTGTCACTTTATGTTTCAAAAATGAAGTGGCTGGGTGGGTGTTCCAGGTGAAGGGTTGGATTAATCATTCTTCTGTGGAATTTGGGTTCTAAACTTAATTGATCTGGTTCTGCTGGGGTTAAAATAACAACCTGTAGGAGTCTGGTGGTGGCTTCATTTTATATATATGTGGACTAGGGGTGTCAATTGAAACATGTATTGTTTTTGTCGTGTTATTTCGAGTTTGTGTTGAATGGTAATCAACTTGAGCATTAAATTAGTGATATCTGATGTTCTTACATTAACTCCACTTAGTTCATTAAATTTTATTGTGTTTAGGAGAATTGCAAAACTATAAATGATTGTTTCTCAAGTCAAGTCATCATTCATTAGTGGTCACTTATGNTTGATATCTGATGTTCTTACATTAACTCCACTTAGTTCATTAAATTTTATTGTGTTTAGGAGAATTGAAAAACTATAAATGATTGTTTCTCAAGTCAAGTCATCATTCATTAGTGGTCACTTATGAATTGAACATCTAACGGACCTGTATTATTGTAGTGCCTTTATTATATTTTTTGTGTTAAAAGAGTGAAAACAATGAAAATAAATGACAGAGGGATTTGATCAAAACTGTAGGGATGTTGATGATGTAGGAAGAAAGTTCAAGTAGTGTCTAATTATTGAAGAATTTTTATGTTATCAAATTACAAGGTAAAAAAAATGAGATATTNTAGTAGTTTTTCCCTCTTGTTAAATAGTGAAAACAATGAAAATAAATGACAGAGGGATTTGATCAAAACTGTAGGGATGTTGATGATGTAGGAAGAAAGTTCAAGTAGTGTCTAATTATTGAAGAATTTTTATGTTATCAAATTACAAGGTAAAAAAAATGAGATATTTTTTCGACCAATACTGATTGAATGTTTGTGTTGAAGTCGTTTTTTTTTATTTTTTTGAAGACCTTCATCATATCTGACCTGACTGTAGTGGTAGTGGAGACCGTCATCATATCTGACCTGATTCACTAATTTATGTTTGTTAATCGATGGATGGATATATATGAGCATTGATTTTTAATGGGAATACGTCGTTTTCGTTTGATTGCTAGTGTCGGTCAGCGATCTTTCGTTGTTGTGGGTGGGTCGGTCGGTCGGTCTAAGATAACGATGATAGGGTGTTGGATGCGTCATTCCCTACGCACGCAGTTTCAACTCTCTTCAACCCAATCGTTTCCAGTGCGCTTTTTCTGTTTGTTTAAAAAGGTCCTTCTCTCCTCCTCCTCATCAGCATCATCATCATCATCATCTCGCTGTCTGGCCTCACTCTTGCTCACAAATTGCATCACAGCAGCTGCCTGCTATGGACNAATCTTTCGTTGTTGTGGGTGGGTCGGTCTAAGATAACGATGATAGTTTCAACTCTCTTCAACCCAATCGTTTCCAGTGCGCTTTTTCTGTTTGTTTAAGAAGGTCCTTCTCTCCTCCTCCTCCTCCTCCTCCTCCTCATCATCATCATCATCTTGCTGTCTGGCCTCACTCTTGCTCACAAATTGCATCACAGCAGCTGCCTGCTATGGACCCAAAAGGAACCATCGTCTTCGCCACAGNGCTGTCTGGCCTCACTCTTGCTCACAAATTGCATCACAGCAGCTGCCTGCTATGGACCCAAAAGGAACCATCGTCTTCGCCACAGTGGGCAGACCCCACTATGGCTTCGACATCTTCTCTATCAAACTTCCTTCCAATCTCTTTCAAGATTCTTCAACCCAATTAATGGACATCGCAGAACGCCGCCTCACTGACGGTGTTTCTGTCAATTTCAACGCCCAATTTGTCAACGATGATGATAGTGAAAGTGAATCCATAGTGTACGTTTCAGAACGAACAGGATCATCTCGAATTTACCTGAACCGATCCGGAATTACAAAACCCCATCAGCTACCATCCCCACCTGAAAGTTTCTTCCACGATCGTCCAGTCATAAAAAATGGACGGCTATACTTTATCTCGGCTCATGAAGCCCCCCAGCAATCTTTCAGGAGCTGGTCTGCTCTTTACTCTACTGGGCTCCATGATGAGAAAATTGTCCGGTTAACGCCGTATGGTTCCGTTGATTACAGTCCCGCGGTTTCTCGAAATGGGAAGTTCATCGCAGTCGCGTCCTATGGGTCTCGTCCATGGGCCGGTGAATTTCACCATCTTCAAACGGATATTGTTGTGTTTCAACAATCCGACCCCTCTAAGCGGACCGTCGTGTGTCAACAAGGTGGCTGGCCCACCTGGTCCGGTGACGCCACCATTTACTTTCACCGACAAGCGGACGATGGCTGGTGGAGCATTTACCGACTCGACTTACCCGATGATTTCGAATTTTCAGGAATTGCAAAAAACGTCCCTCGCCGAGTCACTCCACCGGGACTCCACTCGTTTACTCCTGCAGCTTTGCAATACACTACCAAAATCGCCGTCGCGACTCGGCGAAAAGATAAGAATTATCGCCACATTGAGATATTTGATGTTGAGACTCAGAAGTTTTATCCTGTGACCGAGTTACTGAACCCGAGTTTCCACCACTACAATCCATTTGTCTCTACTGAAGCTAATTTTCTTGGTTTTCACCGATTCCGGGGCGAGTCAGCACAGGGCGAATCGATAATTCCAAATCTCGATCCTATAAGGTCTCCAATTAAGGGCGTGCGAATGCTGAGACTCAACGGATTCTTTCCTTCTTTCTCTCCCGCCGGTGATTTGATAGTATTTAATCACGACTTTGATCCCAAGTCGGGCCTAAAAATCGTCAAATCAGATGGTTCAAAGAGATGGACCTTGTTCAAAGACCGTACAGCGTTCTATAACTCATGGAGTCCGGCTGAGATGAGTGTGATTTACACATCAACTGGGCCCATCTTCGAGTCAGTTAAAGCGACAGTCCAGATAGCTCGAATCTCATTCGACCTGGAAAATCTAAACGAGGATGGTGACGACATCCCAGTCGATATAAAGATCCTCACTAGGGAAGATACAGGCAATAACGCTTTCCCATCGTGCTCGCCGGATGGCAAGTTTGTCGTTTTCCGGTCGGGTCGTTCAGGGCACAAGAATTTGTACGTAGTTGACGCCGTGAATGGAGAATTTAACGGCGGTATCCGTCAGTTAACGCAGGGACAATGGATTGATACTATGCCGAGTTGGTCACCTGACGGGAAGTTAATAGCATTCTCTTCGAACAGACATAATCCGGATAACGTTGATGCGTTCAGCATCTACGTCATTCGCCCGGATGGCTCTGATCTCCACCGGATACACGTGGCGGGATCCAATGACGAAGTGGATAGGGAGAGGCTGAACCACGTATGCTTTAGTGCTGACGGAGAGTGGCTGCTGTTCACGGCGAATTTGGGGGGGGTGACGGCGGAACCGGTGTCGTTACCAAATCAGTTCCAGCCGTACGGTGACTTGTTTGTGGTGAGGTTGGATGGGAGTNTGACGGCGGAACCGGTGTCGTTACCAAATCAGTTCCAGCCGTACGGTGACTTGTTTGTGGTGAGGTTGGATGGGAGTGGGTTGCGGAGGCTGACCTGGAATGGATATGAGAACGGCACGCCAACGTGGCACCCCGGAGATGAGGTGGACCTCGGACGTTTGTGTTTGGGAGCTGAGGTTGGGGATAAGCTGAAGGGTCAATTCGAGGAACCCCTGTGGATCCAATGTGACTTTTAGTGTGCGAGTAATAAGTTTATCTATAGAATTTTGTTCATTTGGTGATTGTGTGTGTGAGCCATTGGATTTGTTGGATGGGCTATTGAAAAGAATGAATAGGATTTAAAAAGAATAATGTTACGTAAATTTAAAATATATATTCAATTAATCATTGTCGTTGATTTTATTATGAGTTCTACCATTTATTAAGATTAATTATTCATTCAATAGTTGTGATTAATTAACTCATCTAGGTGAGGACTTGGGCTTACGTTACCCAAGTTCAACCCAAATTTTTTTTATAGGTCTAACCTGGTCCGACTCATGAGCACCCTTATACTTTTTTTTTTCTTTCTTTATGATACAGACACCCTAATACTTAGAGTGTTAAACGTGTCGGGTTAAACGACTGACGAATGAAAAATATGTAAACTCATACACGATACGTTTAATAAANAGAGTGTGATTTACACATCAATTGGGCCCATCTTCGAGTCAGTTAAAGCGACAGTCCAGATAGCTCGAATCTCATTCGACCTGGAAATCTAAACGAGGATGGTGACGACATCCCAGTCGATATAAAGATCCTCACTAGGGAAGATACAGGCAATAACGCTTTCCCATCGTGCTCGCCGGATGGCAAGTTTGTCGTTTTNGACAAGATTTGTTTAATTTTAAATGAGTTCTATTCAGTAGGGTCGAGTTAACACAGTAAACCACCTGTTTGACCAATTTACTTGTTTATTTAAAAATGCTATATAACTTTATAAAACTAACAAACTAACACAAAAAAATGTGATATTTAAAAATATCACATTATATTACAAAATACAAAATATAAATTACAAACTACAATTTAAAATAACCAAATTTGACCAATAATCATATTACAAATCATAAATATAATCTGAAATAACACAATTATATCAAAAAACAATCATATTACAAATTACAATCTCAAATGGGTGGAAGAGATCAAATCTCCAAATTCTATGATTCACAAAATCCCGTGAAAGAGAACAATCATTTTACAAACCATCAAATTTCACGATTCACAAAATCCCGTGAAAGAAATCAAATATTCACCTCTACGACAACGAGTAGATTCAACAACAAAATTTTCATGTCCTACACAAATTAAAATGAAATATTATATAACATTAATAATTATATAAACTCATAACTAGATAAGTGACAAAATTTTGGCATTACAAGTTACATGTTTCAATATCTTTCTTAGTCATGATCAAGGATAGATATAAAATTAGAATATTGAACGGATTTAGTTTTATTAGACTTTATATTTTGATTGAAAACATCATCATCTATTTTTCTTTCCGAATCATCTACAATTAAGCACAACAAAACATAAACGAATCAATGATTACATGAATTAGGATAATCAAAAAAAAAAATACTAATAAAGATGGAATCAAACTTACTCGCATAACTTACCGAAAAAAAAAACCTTACTCATATATATATTTGATACCACAACTATTATATGCAGCACCCCTCTTGCCGTCTAGATAGTTTTCATTTAATTATGTAAAATATTTTTATACTATTGAAGTCTTTTGTCGCTTACGATTAGATTAATTTTTTTCTATAGTTGTATCGGTTGATATTTGTGTTGTTGGAGCTGCATCTACCTTAGGCTCATGTCTGAGCTCATCTTCTCCATTTGGAAACTATAATTGTGTTCGGAAGAAACCATTTGTTTAAGGCATAAAATAGAGTTAAAAAAATGGAGAAAATTTGAGATTAATAGTAAATAAATGTTTTCAGGATACAGTCATAAATTTAGCAACTCAAACACGTGCCAAAATTTCCACAGAGTTGATGCTCATAAGAAGTAGATATACAATTCAACTATTAATGATAACTTCAGAAGTTACAAGAAGTCCAAAACCTAAGACATTCTTAATGCATGATTTCAGAAAATTTACAAACTTTCAACGAGGGACAGAGATCAAGTTCAACTTTACTAAGGATGATCTCTTTTCCCTAAAACTAAGATCCTTGACACCCCCCCTCCCAAAAAAAAAATAATAATAATAAAGCCAATGGAATAACAAGAAGAAAGTTGGGTTAGCTTTGCTTTTCCCCAACTTTTCCTCTTTAATCTTTGTAAGTGCAGTGAAAAGTAAATCCTTAACACAAGTTGGCATAAGATTCGAAAAAACTATACGAAAATAGTGTTTACATATTCTTAAGAAAGAAGTAAATGGGAAAACAAATCCATCATCAATTATGTCCTTTCCACTGAAGAAAATTGAAAAAAAAAGTAGACAACCCGAAACTTAAGATTGTGACATTCTTTTCCACTCCCTTTATTTTCCTTTTCACGATTCACCACGCAGAACTGAATTACATATCACGTATGTCCTGTCTGGTTGTTGAGATAATCGTCAATAATTTTTTTTTTTTTAAAAAAAAAAAGACTGAAGACCAAAATGTTTGTTTAATGTATAACTACAAGTATGTCAAAATTGGTAACATTTTAAATCACAGAATTTCATTACCCATTGACCACAATCTATTGCATATTTATAAATTCAGACCACTCAGCTAGCAAAATGATAAATCGGAGCCATGGTAGCTCCCTGTGAAGTATGATATCCATCAATTGTAGGTTTTCCACTGACAGAAAGGAGATAAAAAACACAAATAAAACAAAACAAAAGACATAGAAGTCACCAATGAAGATCGAATCCAAGCAACTAAAAGTTGCAAGAATATAGAAAGGTCCAAAACACTTGCAAGAACTTTTTAAAAAAAAGGTGGGTCCGGGTCCTGTGACCTGTGAGCCTTGCAATTTTCAGCAAAAAATGGGTTGCGAAAGAATATAAGATTAGATTCAGAACTAAATCATTGAAGATCATTAGCAACTCTTGAAAGTTCTACACCGAAAGCCGTCCATAGAATATATACGCTCACATGTAGAAGGAAGAGAAGCAAAGAAACTCACAGATACTTTAGAAATTTGAAATGTGGATAGAAAAGATTCAATAAAATTTGAAAAAAAAAAAAAAATTTACCCCTTTGATGTCTTTGCTTGAAATCTCCGTCGTCAGCCTGGCCCAAGACACCAACTACACGTTGAGTTGCTATAGAGCAAGAGAGAGAAAGGAGCAGAAGAGTTGGAGGCGTAAGTTGAAGGCTTCAACGTAAAAAGTAGAAAGAATTAGGGTTCGGACTTTGGAATTAGGGAAATATATCCTTATATATTTTCTGTGTGGCTGACACTTAAAAAAAAAAAAAAATTCTGACTAATTTTTTTAAAAATAATTATTAATTTTATTTAAACGGGTTATAAATGGGTTGATAGATATCACCCAAACACAATCTGTTTATTAAACGTGTTTAACAGGTCAACCCGTTTATCATCCGAACCTGTTAAGATCTCACTCAAATCCGCTTAATTCGTATCGTGTTGAATTTTGACAGACTTACCAATAATGTGCACTTGGTCTGGCATATGGAATATTCGTTTTTATCTTCCAAATTTCTGCATTCATAACATCCAGCGTATTGAACATACCAAGCATACATGAGAGACTGAAAAGGTTTATAATAAGTGAGAAGGATTTCCTTTTTGGTATCGTTGTGTTATTCCTAAATTCCATCTCATCTCAAATTGGTCTGGGCAATTCACGCTGCTGCAGCTATTGTAAAGTCATGATTTTGTTTTATGCAATAAAATTGTTTAATCAAATCTACCTGACTTTAAAATGATTTGAACAATAAGATAGTATTTCCGAATCCCAAAAATCACCTCACAATTTACTTATGCAATCTAATTTTGTTGAGAAAAAAAATGGATACAATTGTCTTTTGAGCAAGAAATCTTACTGGGCCAAATTTAACCCACGCCTAGATGGATTAGAAAAAATATATCTATCTGTATCTATACTACTAATAAAAGTTTCTTAACATGAAAAATTTTTAATTCTTTATTTTACCCTTATAAAAAGTTATAAAAATCATTCTATCCTTTCACATTAAATATTTAAATTATCTATTATCTCTTTATATATTTAAATCTCTAAATTAGACCTAACATCTCTTTTAATTATCTATTCTTTCTATATAAATATCAATTTGTATGAAATTTTGTGATCTATACTACTAATAAAAGTATCTTAACACGAAAAACTTTTAATTCTCTATTTTACCCTTGTAAAAAGTTATAAATATCACTTTATTCTTTCACAATTAAATATTTAAATTATCTATTATCTCCTTATGCATTTAAATCTCTAAATTAACTCTAGCATCTATTTTATTATCTATTTTCTCTATATAAATATCAATTTATATTAAACTTTTTGATTGACTATATTATCTTTAAAAAATATGAATTATTATATTTTCAATAAAGTGTTCAAAATTTTTTTAAAAATTTCATCAATCTAATATAATCTAAAATTACTCATCTTATGTGCAAAGATAACACTATCAGCATATATGTTTATTTTCTTTTTTATTTAAAAAGTTTAACCCTTTTATTTTTAAGATAAAAAATAATTATATATATATATATATATAATTTTTTTAAATTAATTTATGCTATATCAATATAATTTTTTAGTTTTAATAAAAATTTTAAGTTGTATTAAGATTTTATGTAAAAATAGTTTATAGTATATTCTTAAGTAAAACTTGAATTCTTGAAAATTTTGATATGTTTTAAAATATATATTATAGAGTATTATATTAAATTTTATCCTAATTGACCTAACTAATTCTTAATTACAGTAAAGTTCCAATATAATTAAGTAGTATATTAACAATTACTTTTATTTTATTCAATGAATTATAAGTGAAATCTTAATCGAATGAATTTCAAAAAATTTAATTTCTCAAACATTACTAAAAAATTACTCTCAATCACACAATTCAAAAAAAGAAAATATATAAAAGTTTAACATTTTTTTTTATCTTTTTTCTTATAGTTAGAATAACAATTTTTTGAAATATGCCAAGTTTTCATTATTCAGTAATAGAATATGAATAATGAAAAATT